CATATCTGCGTTATGTGCAGTGAGCGTTCCTTTTGTAACATGGTCCATGGCCCGCATGCCAGAGTCTGCCTTCAGCTGCTGCCTTCAGATAAATTAGTGAGAGATGGCTTGTTGTACTGAGAAGAAAATACAGTCCTCTTACCTTGTATAAATACAGTCAAAGGAAGACTAGTAAAATATTTGTCTATGGTAGGGCAATGTCATCTAGCTACCAGTCTACCAGCTGTCAGGCTCCTGACTCACATGTAATGCAAACTTGACTATTTAATATTCTCCACTTCACAGTAAAATTTCAAAGTCCTTTTAGGGCTTATGGACTTTTTTTTATACCATCTTATTGCAGTATTTCCTAAGAGTACCTTTGAGATAGTATTTTCAAGGATTCGATGCTGCCTGGCCCTTGAGTGCACTCTGCTACATGAGGGGACACCCTTCAAAGCCATCCTGAGCACAGGCTGAGGTCTGAGAGGTCTCCAGGACCTGTGAGAAGCATTTGTGGTGAAAACCAAGGTCAGACCTACATGCCTTTGGGAACATTGGATATGTTTATCACTGGGGTGTAGGCAGAGGGAGGGAACGGGTAGGGAATGTTTGGTTTTTTGCTGGGTTTTTTTTGTTCCTCTAGGTGGAAGGTTTTGGTATGTTGTTCAGATCATTTCCCACCTAGCAGCAAGGTGAGAAGTGTTTTAGGAGCAGCACTTCATAGAGTTGATTTTTAGCCAAAGTCAAGTCCCTCTGGGAGCAGTTTCAACTGGTGATATTTCTTTGCAGGGTTGAAGCTACTCTGACTTTGCAGCTCTCTACAGGAGCTGCACAAGTGATATCAACTCATGTCACTTTTTCTTCTGCCTAGACACAATTAAGAGAGCTCTTGAAGCTCTCAGACCCAAGCTGGAGTAGGAAAGAGGCTGTGTTGCCATAATAAAGCAAAAGGGTTACAAACAAGAATATGTGAATTACTGAAATCCAGGAGCTATTTGAATACTTCTGTAACCCATTCTTCAGGCCTAGAACTCCTTTTTTTATTATAGCATGAAAAAATAATCTTCAGCTGAATGAAGGAATTTCAAATTAGTTAATTTTCAGAATTTTACCAAAACACATATTGATGGAAGTCTGGAAATTGCATGCTTTTGAAAAAAAAATTGTTAAAATATCTATCAATCACAATGCCTTTTTCTGGAGGAATCATACTGGTTATAAAGTGTATACATGAGAGTTTATTGGTAACTCAGATGCAATCATTATGAGTTAAGACATGTTGTAGTATATTGCAATTGTAATAGTATGTTTGTGTTTTTCATAGCCAGTCTTTGAAAAGGAGCCCAGTTGTAGCCACAGAGAGCCAGTATTTTAGGATCTAAATAAATTCTTTTATTTTTCCTGTATTTTGGGAAAAAACTGAGCTGGTGTGAACAAGGTGGAATATTTAGTCTATCGTCTAGTTTTTGTTGCTTTTTTTAAAATCAGGGACCCATATATTCACTCACTGAACAGTTTAGCTTCTCATCTGTCCTTTTTTTTCTTTTAATCTTGTGCCAGGTGTTTAAGAAGTGGGCAGCAGTGGTATTTCAGTAACCTGCTTTCGACATTATTTGCATACTTTGTGTTTTTCCATGGTGATCAATGCTCAACTGTAGTGGAACTTCAGTTAGTAAATTTTATGTGCAACTGCTAGAGTAATTTTTTTAATTAGTCCATCCTAGGAATTTTAATGTCTCTTTATAAATATTTATATTTTCAATATATCTTCATTGAATTGAGAAGATTTTTCACATTGTTTTCAGATAATCACAGGTAGTATGCATGATCATATGCCAAGACTGACCTTTTAGCCTCTCTATTTCTCTTAGTTCAGCCACATTTTGTTTGTCCATGTGTATTATATTTTAGTTTATTTATGGTTTTCCTTCATGGAATGTTGGAACAGACAGTGTTTTCCATGCAAACACCTTAATAAACTGCAAAGAAAGAGAATATGCTATTGTATACTAGCAGGTGTCATGTGAATACTTTAATTGGTGTGTACAGCTACTAGAAATCCACACTGAAATAATGTTTGATTTGTCCAGAACTTTCTGGCATACAAATACAAAGCATTTAGTACTATATTCTGGTTTGTGCATTGAAAGAGTGTTGGGTGTATGCTCTTTGATTTGGAATCTCTATGAACTTACCTCAAAATCCTGGATAAAACTGAATGGAGACCTTTAGAATTGATTAGTATGTGCAAACAATATTTCTAAGTAATCCTGATGATTTACTTATTTTAATTTTTGAATTGTAGTGGTTTTATTCCTTTCATTTTATTGAAAAGTCTTCTTTTGCAAATAAATCCCCTGTAGCTGGTGGTTCTGCTTGCTAAAAAAGAATCCCAAGTACCACAAGTTATTAACATATCAGTAACTTATACTAATTAATTCAACTGCATGTAAATCACAATAAAAACTTTTTGTTGCAACTCAGAGGTGATCAACAAGATACTACAGCTGAAAAATACTTCCTCTTGACTTTTTGCTGATTTTTTTTTTTTTTACTTTTTCAAATTTTGATGGTTGTTACATACTTCTAGAAGAGCATTGCAGAAAAATTTTGTTCTTTTAGTTCTCTGTAACTTCTGAAGTATAACTTATTTTGCTAGTAGTGTATTTGAGTCCATATATATGACAATATTGAAAGTATTAATTAATTCCTGCAGGTCAGCCTTAGATGAAAATTTCATAACATGTATGATTTGGTTTCCACAGATTATACAAGTCTTTGTGTGAAGGGACGAGTCTGAAGAACCAGCCTAATTGTGCTTTCAGTACTTCTGAAGGTGGACTGCAGGGAAGGGAGGATGTTGTGACCCTAACCCATGGCCAGGTTGAAGAGCTGGCAGCCCAGCTGCAGCAAACTCGATTGGAGCAAAAGGACACTGAGCTGAAGCTCCAGAAAGCCCTGGAAGCTTCACAGGAGGCCAATGAAAAAGTTCAAAAGTAAGTCACTTGCCTTCCAACAAAAATTGCAGTTGTAATCCACAGGAAGCGGGTTTTTTTTTCTGGTATTTTTCTATAAATGAAAATGTGGCAGTACTCAGAAAAAGTCCTTTAAAATTATTCCTCCTTTGTCAGCTCATTTCCTACTCAGAGTGAAGCTGATCATTTTAACAGTTTTGTGCTATTAGGCAAGACAGGGTACCTCTCATTACTGTTAAGGAAATTGCTTCCTACATGTGCAAGGCACAGAGAAAGTCTTTCCATCTCCTATGAATGGTTTTCACTGTTCTTTTACCCTGTGGCAATCCTATGGTAACAGAGTATTTGCCTTTATAATTGCATGGTAGAATATTACGGTTCATTTTTGGTCTGTTACACATCTGGCAGGTTTCATACCACAGTAAATGGTTATGGGGTTGTTTAGGAGTGGCTTCAAAATCTCACTGTGAGCCACAGGAAGTCTTTGACTAAGTGAAGAGAGATTATATTCTCTTTCCCGTCATAAGTTTCCCTGTTAAAAGGTTACTGAACTCAAAAACCTGAAGTTCATCTCTAGTGAAGTACTTATTGTCATGTTTGTTATTAGTAGTGCCTCTTGACAGACCGGCACGTCTCATCTCTGCGTTACATTCATCAACTGCAAAATTCTCCTCTCCCACCCCTCCAAGGTGGTCAATGCTGAACTGATATATATTTTCCTGTCTATCCATATATGTTTTCAACTTTAATGTCCACAGCATATTTACAGCATAGCCAGAAACTGGCTTATAATATATTGCAAGGACCTAACAAAAGTTTTTCTTGTTTAAAAATCACATGCTGAGTTCTTCTATTTAAAAATAATTATATTCCTATATTTTTAATTTATTTGTAACTACGTAAATTATAATTCATGTATCCATATAGAAAAGTGCTTCTTTTTAGTCATCACTTTAAACCCTCCAGTGGTTGTTTGATAATCATTCAAGTCTTTATTCTGAGTGCTTAGACATATTTGAAACTTTGAGAGGTGTGCATTTGATAAAAATAAACCTATAAAAAAATAAGTTATGGTAAAGAGAATATTGATAAAACCTTTCAATGCACTGTTTTAAGTTATTACATATAATTTTATTTATAAGTGCTTAATAATATAGCTATTTAAGCAGGGGTTGAGATTTTGCTGTTTTGTTTTTTTTTTTCTGAAGTGAAACAGTCTTGTTTAATCCCATGTGCTCAGGGTGGCTAAAGTAGAAGTGCAGCCACAAACTGAATTAAAGTAGTAGTAATGCACCACTATAGCGAAAAGAATTTACGTAATTTAACATGCTCAACTACTTGGGAAAATTTTGGTCAGGTTAGTTTTCATTATTGTTAAGATCAGACGACTGAGCCTATAGCAAAATTAAACAATTGGTTGAAGTCTTTCGATGACAATAGCATGCCCTTTTTACCACGAAACTGTGGAAATGCTCTGCGCGTCTTCCCAGCACCCGGAGTCATCCACCCCCATCTTATAATTCAACCTGCAAACAGATTAAGCAGCTGAGTTTGTGGAAAGTGTGTTTACTTTGAGCTAAGAACCCTTGTGTGACACTATAGAGATTCCTCTGACACCTCTGGGAGAGCTACACAGACAGTTCGTACTCATCAGCAGGGAAACCGGGCTGAGAATTCCCAATTTCTTTGTAACCTCAACTGCTTCATACAAATCAGTGTTTGGCAATTAGGCAGGAACTCATTTGTTAGCTTAGCATTTTATTTAGAAGATGTAGGATGTTCTACATTTCAAAAAAGAACTGACAATTTATAAACCTGTCAACAGAAAGGCTTTTTGATATTAATTAGAGTAGTATTAATTGTTAGCACTGCCCTAAGAGGATGCTTAATGTAGTTTAAAATGTGTAACTAAAATTCATAGACTAATGACTTATAAAATAATCTATTTTCTTAGCTTTTTTAAATGCTTAACTAAAATTGAATTCTGACATATGAAGGCAGTAGTTTTGTCAGCTGTATGAAGTAGTTTCTCAATACTATTTGGTAAATAGCAATGGTTAAAAATCAGAAGAGTGAAATAATTATGACCTTCATTAAGAAAGAACATTATTGTAATTAAGAATGTTGAGAAAAGATGTACTTTGTATCTTCATAAAATGCAGTTTACTAGTTTTACACTGCCTTTGCTAATCTGTTCTCTGGCAACACTAAAGAATTTTTTAATATTCTTAAAAACTTCAGTGTTTGCAATCAGCATGATATGCAGAGCTTTAAAGAGAGTTGTAATTCTCCACAGCATTTCCATCATGTCAGCCATTTGTGTACCCACTGGTAGCTGTTGCTTTCTAGACATGAGACCCAAGTCAGAATAGTGGTCCTGTGCTCTCCATTAGAACAAAAAGCATCTAAAAATTTCTTGATCCTATCTCACACGAAACAGCAGCTGTGAAGCAGGAGAGGATGTTTTGGTATCTACTTATAGTGAATTTGGACGTAGTAAACATCTGTTTATACTGAAGTAGGGTGAACAGCTCATGTTGGCTAGCTGCAGTGTGAGATATAAATTGAGACTGTCTGCTCTTGCCTGTGAAGATGATTCACCATCCTAACAGGGGTGCTGGTGTAAAACAAGAAACATTGATGCTCAGAGGGTAGCCACACAGATTTAGCTGCATTTCCTTGAATCTCATTTGATTTTGAGACACTAGCAAGATACACTTAGACTTTTAAGAGAGTGATATTCTTTATAAAACAAGTACACATTTTGACTGTGGTCTATGTAAAAAATACATGTATGTACACGCATAACAATACATATTTATTCAATAGACTATTATGATCTGCGCAGTAATATTTTTAATCAATGTTCTGGAATGGCTATGACTATAATTTTTTAGATTTAATTGATGTTTCTATTTTGTGGTTACAAAGAATTAGAACAGGAGCACAGAATTCACCAGGAGTGTTGGTATACTACCACAGGCCCTCTGCGAGTTTGTCCTGCCTGAGAAGACAGGAGCCAGCTGGTGCAGTCCCAGCTGGGAAATGGGGCTGACCTGGAGAAGGTGGCTGGGAGAGCTTGTGAATTAATTAATACTTCTGCCAACAGAGGAAGGGAGGCATTTTAAAAATGTCCTTCCGGCTGGAACCTCTGGGATTGTGGAGTGGTTGCTGATGTCAGTGAGATCAGAGTAGGTTATAATGTAATACCAAATCAATATTAGCCAATTATCAGTGAAGGCTGAGGCCACTTTTGATGTTTTTCAAGGAAATGTTCTATTTTTCTGCATCAGCTTTGCAGCTGGAGTGAATTTTAATGCAATTTGTCTATTGAGGATTTCTATTTTTTTCTCATGATTTAATGATTCTAGCTCAGTAAAGCACAACTCTGCATGTGAGCACAGCTACACTTGCCTAGTCGTGTAGCTATGTGAAGTGGCAGAGGAGGGTGAGCGGGTAGAATTTCTATGTAATCCTCTAAAAATAAACACAAATCCACAAAATAACAGTGCAGTACTAAAATATACAGGTATGAAAATAAAAGTAAATCATGAGAAGGATCTTGCTTGTGTACTTTGTCAAGGTAGTTCTGACTATGAATGAAGCTAATATAAAAGTGATGCAAACTCGAAGTCATTGCTTCATTAGTCCTTAACTGTTCATTAGAGACCTTTACAATTTTCTTTTTCTTTCTTTTAAAAATGAAGTCGGGAAAATTACAGCTTTGGATAAAAATTTTCAGTTGATTGAATGCATAAGAAAACTAAGCGATCTTCTGAATTAAATTCTATCCTTAATAACATTTGCTTTACCCCTTAAGGTCTGATTTTTTTTTTTTTTTTTTGACCACCTAAATTTCATTGTAATTGGAACACACCCTTTATTTGTTTAGTCCTGAATTTCCCTCCAGCCTTTTTGAAAATGCTTTCTCTGCTTTTGTACTTGTTCATTTATTTTCTTAGCTGATGCTGATATATAAGTTGATCTATGAAACAACAAAAACAAACAGTTATTTCCAACAGTTGACATGGATGAAAAGAATACAAAAAAATATAAAGAAATAAGAAGTAATCATTTATTAAGTGGTTAGCGTCCCTCTCTTCTGCAAGTAAAACTAATCTGCCTTCTGAGTGCGGGAGCTGTGTGTATTTCACATCAATGTCCAACCCATTCTTCAGTGCTGGCTGGAGGGTCTAATCTTTCCCAGAATGATCAGAGCAGTGCAGTTGAAGAACAAGGATGAATATTTGAATAATCACACCACAATGTGAGGTGACCCTCCGACAGGGGACTGACCAGATACACATATGGATTTTGGGAAGAAGCTCTGATGCTCTTTTTTAACACAGCTGTGAGAAGAATGTGGCTAAGACCCAGTAGTCTTTCTGGAGTATAGCTGGCAAAGGAAACCATGAGGAGAAGAGAATTTAACACATGGGTGTAAGGGAGTTCACTTCATTGATGCGATCTGAGGGGAATGTCTAATGACTGGAAGAATCAAACTTGGCAATGAAAACACAAAGCTCTTTTCATCAATTCAAACACTGACTCTAAAGCTGCAGATGGTTACCTCCAGCCTTGCCTATTCAGTGTGGGGTTGTATAAAATGGAACTTTGGTGAATACTAATAGATCAAAACAAAGATTTAATAACATAAAGATGTGGTGTTCATTTTTAAATGAGGATACAGGTCAGTGTCTCAGAAAAGAATTAAAAAGTATCTTTATGTATGGGTCTAAAGTCTCTGGAGATTTTTAACTGCAAACATATCTTTAGTGTGCAGATTGTATTCAGTAGGGACAGCTATGCAGGGAACAGGCTAAAAGCAAGATTTCAGAATTATTATACTAATTGAGCCTCTTTGCAACATGCAAATGTTGTTAACTAGTTATCTCCTTTTAAAATCATACCTACATATGTTTAGCTGAAGCATACATTGTAGCTTGTATGCGTTGAGCTACTTGTTGTAGGAAATAATGGAGCTAGTTAATTAGAAATTGCAGGCAGAAGCACTTCACAAA